AAGGAGTCTGATTTTGTCTTACTCAAAAAATTATTCTGAGATTGGATTAAAAATATTTTGAGAAGAAATTTGATTCCGTAATAAAGCTTATGTTTCAGTTTGTTGAAGAGTTCATTTCATATCATTGTACATGTTTTAAAAAGCTATTTCCATATAGATCAAGTAAAGGAAAGATAATGAAAGTTTTTTGCTTGTTTGTTTTTTGTTTTGATTTTTACAAGAATGTATGCAACAAAATAACATAACCTACCAGGAATGACCTTTGTCTCTGCACTGTTTTTCTAGTTAGGTAACTGAGAGGAATTAAAACATCCATTTGGCCTAATGAAAAGACCCCAGAATATTTTTTAAAGTTAATTATCTTGACCTGTGATACTGCTAAGTTAAAATATATTTGCTTTCAGCTTTGATCAGGAAATCCAATTTAGCTGTCTCAGTGAAAAGCCTATGTCTAATGAAATAGAAGAACATCTATTGTAAAGAAAATATGTAGTAGCTAACATTCCAGAATTAAAGTAAAAAACCTCATATATTTTCTTTGAAAACAACACTTAAAACAATTTAATTATGTAAATTCATCTGATGGACACTGTGGTAAAGTTTATAAAGTATGGTAATTGAATTAGGGCTACTCTTTGAATGATGGATAGGAAGTGGTTTTACTCACTCAGTTTGGTGAAGGAGGCTAATACACAGAATCTCAGCCTGCAGGGAGGGCCGTCTTTGCCAAAAGGGCAACAGCATTTGAAATACTTGAATATTTTGGTTCCTTGAATTTTTCAGACCTTACTACAACAAAAAAATGTGTGTATAAACTAAAGGATACAGAAAATCAGTTTCTATCTAGATAGGGCAGGATTTATTATCCACTACTTGGACTAGCAAACTTCCTCCGTTTGTTTCTGTAAGATTTCTACTAAAGCACAGACATTACATAATGTGCAAACACTGCAAGCCCTCCTAAAAGTCAAGCTGGCATATTCAAGGTCACTCTTTGGATGACAGGAAAGCCAGAGAAACAGGTCTACAGAGGATGTCACAGATTGCACAGACCCTGAGAATGATCTTGGAGCTGGTCTTCCTTTGTCTTGATAAACCCTCTCTTTGTGTAACCTAAAAATCATGCTGCTGATTCAAGTGGCTGGTCTGAATACTGATTACATTTACCATTCATGGGATATAAGCTGGGAAGAAGTCCACTAATCACCTGCAAAAGCCAGGGTCTTATTAGTATGGGTATTTCTCAGCTGGGACCTTCTTCCTTTTGTAGTAAGCAAGGTAATAGGAATTGCCTAAAGGACTGCCAGGGCAAGCCCAGGCAAAACAGCTTCTATGGTACTTGTTGCAAGAGGAGGCAAGGGTGATATGAGACCCAAAGGGGATAGGTAGGAAGAGACTGGCTAGCATGATTAAAATGCTTGGTTAAGGATCAGCCTAGGATCACTACTATGAGACTTAACTAAAACCCAAGTAGACAATGAACCAAGAACCCAAAGAAGAAAGACGAGTAATTTTAACCTGCTTTCCCTTTACCCAAAGTTACACAGATTGAGTGAGTAATGGGGAAAAAAAGAGACCGCCAAAGTACTGCTTACATGGACATCAGAAGGCCTGATCTAGAACAAAGAGAACAGAACATCAGAGAAGGAAGGGTGTCTGAAATAGGAGAGCTATGTTCCAAAAGTATGTTTGCACGCTGGTTATTTGGAACAGAGATGAAGTAAGGCAGCTGAGGGCTCAGTCTGCTTTAGAGTCTAATTTGCACATAGTGTAACTCTACAGGGGTTGTTGTGTGAAAAAGGAATCTCAGGGCTCCCCAGGAAGCAATGTGGCTAGAAGGTTCTGGTTGCCTTGAGACTGGGAGGATAGTGTGTCACGTCCAAACTATCTTGTTCCTGAATGCCTGCACTTGGGGCCACTGAAAGATGCAGCAGGAGGTCAATCACTATAGCTGAAAGGAAGATTCCTTTCTCTGAAGTGCAGCTTATACAGCCTACTTCTCTAAAAGGGTGCTTATAACTCTGGTAGAGAAAAATTGGAAAACATCTTTAATTATCTTTTAGTTAAAAACATTAAATACTTGACTATATATCATATGTGTTACATAGTTACTAAATGTATATAGAAAAACAAATAAAACTTTTGTATATTCCATGTCCTGGTTTGAGTTTAGAACATATTTCTATTTTTTTTTTAATGTTTATTCATTTTTGAGAAAGAGAGAGAGACAGAGAGACAGAACACAAGCGGGGTAGTGGCAGAGAGAGACACAGAATCTGAAATAGGCTCCAGGCTCTGAGCTATTAGCACAGAGCCCAATGTGGGGCTCAAACTCACGAACCATGAGATCATGACCTGAGCCCAAGTGGGACGCTTAACTGACTGAGCCACCCAGGCACCCCTGGAACATATTTCTAAAGAGGTATAAGAAAAGCACAGGTAGCTGTCTACCTAATGCCTATCAGAAACTCATGTTTTGGGTGAAGTGTTCTATAAATGTCTATTAAGTCCTGTTGGGTGAACACTGTGGTTGAATTCTTCTATATCCTTGCTAATTTTCTGTCTTGTTCTATCAACTGTTGAGAGAGGTGTGCTTAAGTATTCAACAATAATCGTGGATTTGTCCGTTATTTCTTTCAATTCTATTAGTTTTTGCTTCATATATTTTGTAGATGTCTTGTTTGGTGCACACATGTTTAGGATTGCTGCCTTCTGTCATCTTGGTAGACTAAACCTTTTATTATTATTGTGCAATGTCCCTCTCTGTCCCTGGTAATTTTTTTTGTTCTGAAGTCTACTTTATCTGATATTAATACAGTCATTCCTGATTCCTTTTGACTATTGTTTACATGATGTATCTTTGCCCATTCTTTTACTTTCAATCTACATATATATAATTATATTTGAACTGGGTTGTCTGAAGATAGCATATACTTAGGTAATGCTTTTTAATCCATGTTGTCAATCTTTGTCTTTTAATTGGTGTATTTTTTCCATTTACATTTAATGTAATTATTGGTATGTTAGAGCTTGTATGCCATTTTATTATTTGTTTTCTGTTTGTCATGGTTTTTTGTTTGCTGTGTTCCCTAATATGCAGGGGTTTTAGCACTTAGTAGGAAAAGCAGGGAAAAGTACATCTATACCATCCTCCTGGAAGCAGAATTCCTTGGAGAAAAATGGAGTCCCTAACTGGAAAATGCTTTTTATAGTTCCCTCTATAGGGTAAAAAGAAAAATACCAAAGGGGGAAAAACTGTAAAGAAAAATAAAATGATTTATTGAAGTAAATGTGGAGTAATTTTATACATGTTTGCCAGAATTTCACGTAATTTCCACTTTGGTTTCAAATAATTTCCAAAGTGTACTGTTCCTTTAGAGATCATCTAGTCTCACCTTTGTTTTGAACAATGACTGAGGGCCAGACAGGGGAAGGGACTAAACTGAAGTCACAGAGTAAGTCTGGACCAAAATGAGTAAGCAAAACCAAAGCAAAACCAAAATGAGAATTGAGCGTTTCTGACTTGCAGTCAATACTATTTTCACTTAGGCCATCTCTTTCTCTTCTATAATATGAGGGAAGGATAAAGGGCTGGACCTTATCCTTCTTTAAGGGACTTCTCCAACTTCAATCTTTGGTGATTTTTATAACTGTCCTTATCCTTGCTTCCTTTCTTCCTATCTCATCTTCTTCCATTGCTATGCTAAGGCTGTAATAAAGAATGGACATTGGGGAAAGTATGGAGCAGACAAAAATCCATACAAATACAGAAAATATATTGAACTTGTATTTGTAATGATTGCTTCTTGCTACATATTTGGAAAAATAACCTTGTATAATCAATCTGTAGCTGTACAACAGGGCTGTGACTTGTTCCTGGATTCATTATGTACATGACTGTGTGGTGCTCTTAACACAGGTGAACACGGTAAACTTTCTTCAGGAGTCTTGCCATTACGATTAACTGGGGCAGAAAGACAATAGTAGCAACTATGGTAAAAGGAAGCTTAGCACAGTGGTAGACTGTCAAAGTTTAAACACTACCCACTAGTTGTGTGACTGTGCCAATCATGTAACTTCTCTGTACTTCAGTATCTTCATCTGTAAAACGGGGACAGTAAAATACCCAAACCTGATTAGTTTTGAGAACTACAAATAAAAGCTTAGAACGGTGCCATTAGCTGCTGCTGCTGCAACTGTTATATCATTGTTGGAGGCTTATTATAAATAAAATTTGTTATATCATTCGTTGTTGTTATAACAACAACACACACACACACACACACACACACACACATATATATATGTATATATATATATACCAGAATTTCACGTATATAAAATGTTGTTATATCATTCGTTGGAGGCTTATTATAAATAAAATATTATATAGACACATTGCACATATTATCATATTTAATTCTGCAATAACCTCTTGAGGTATAGATTAAAAAGGATTATTTTATTATGAAAATAATTTATAAGCATTCTATGAATTAGTATTAACCTACAAAGGTAGATTACATTTAAAAACAAAGGTTGAAGGCAAAAGATAAAGTAGCAAATGTTCCCTGGCACATTCAGAAAATATACTCAGCACAATACCCAGTGTTGTATTACCATGACTATTATTTATTACTTTTATCATTTAAACTCCTCCAAAAACATTTAAAGAGGAAAATAAAAGCATAGCCTGTTCCCTCTATGGGAATATTTGGCCTGGTTTCCTTGGCTGGTTTCTGTTAATTTCTCACACTGGACTAACAGGGCACACGCTAGACTCCTGCAAATATTCCTTCCCACCATCTGGCAAGAGGGGAGAATCAGAAGGGTAAGGTTTACAATTAAAGCTCGATGAAATTAAAATTAAAGCTTCTATTTCTATTTTTATTTATGTCTGGTTTTAAGCTTTGGGGCTCGATATTCAGGGACTGTCTGAGGTTGTTCTCTTACTACTTTCTGATACAAGAATAAACATAAACCTTTTAAAATGTGCTTACCAATGCAGAATGGTTCCAATATATTCAGGACCGAAAATTCGTACTGCACGTTCATCATTTGAAGGCCAATTCTTGTTATCAGGGACCTGATTTTCTCAGGCCATGGTTTAAGTAAAAGGTAGCCAAAAACATAGAGAGCATATCGAAGCCAGCACAGAAGTGGAGTGGCAATCCTGCCGTTTGGTGTCTCAGATAGTCGCTCGATTGTTGGAAAAAGCAGAAAGGAGCGAATTATCTACAATAAAAAACATACTTTGGTGAGAAGTTTCTTAAGGGATAACCCACTGTTTTACTGTTTCTTTTGTATAGTACTGACAAATGACTGGGTTTCAGAATATGACTGAAGATCTGTTCTAAATGAGAAGAATCACCATATGCTGTCTTCTCAGTGCACAAACAATCTGGGGAGCATAGAAGGAAATCCCTTGAGTTATTGGGGTTAATTTTCAGGGTGAGGAGCAAATCAGATTCCTAGATAACTTCCTGATTGTGACAGCAATTCACAATCCCTTTGAAGGATTGCCGAAATTAGGAATTCATATACCATGTTATACCACCTTGACTGACTAATGATAACAGAAGAAAGTAGAGCTACATAATGAACTGTTTCTTGTATTTTTAAAAATTTTTAATGTTTTTTTATTTTTGAGAGAGAGAGAGAGAGAGAGAGAGAGAGAGAGAGAATGTGCGAATGGGGGAAGAGCAGAGAGAGAGGGAGACACAGAATCCGAAGCAGGCTCCAGGCTCCGAGCTGTCAGCACAGAGCCCGACGTGGGGTTTGGACTCACAAACCATGAGATCGTGACCTGAGCTGGAGTTGGATGCTTAACCGACTGAGACACCCAGGTGCCCCTAAAGAACTCTGTTTCTAAGGGCACCTGGGTGGCTCAGTGGGTTAAGCATCTGACTTTGGCTCAAGTTGTGATCTCATGGTTCATGAGTTTGAGCCCTGCATTAGCCTCTGAGCTAACAGTGTGGAGCATGCTTGGGATTCTCTCTCTCTCTCTCTCTCTCTCTCTCTCTCTCTCTCTCCCCCTCCTTCCCTCTTTCTGCCCCTCTCCTGCTCACTCTCTCAAAATAAATAAATAAATACACTTTATTATTATTTTTTTTAATATTTATTTATTTTTGAGAGCAAGAGCATGAGCAGGGGAGGGGCAGAGAGAGAGAGGGAGACATAGGATCTGAAGCAGGCTTCAGGCTCCACGTCTGTCAGCACAGAGTCCGACATGGCGCCGGAACCCACAAACAGTGAGATCATGACCTGAGCTGAAGTTAGGACACTCAGTCAACTGAGACACCCAGCCACCCCGAAATAAATAAACTTAAAAAAAAATTATGTGTCTAGTCAGCATTTCTTTTACTGATTATATTTGGGGATAGTTCACTTTTTGAAACACTCCTCTATTCCTTACTGTTACCGATAAAAGACAATCTTTAAGAGGACCAGATACATTTCTAACAAATGATTTAACCTTAATAAAGTGCAGGCTAGAAACAAGCAAAGCTAGAAATCTGTACATACACAGGAGAATGTTTAAGGACAAAAATATAATTCAACTGAATTCATCAGGATGTCAGGAAATATATTTTAATAATACTCCACAAGAAAGGAGCATTGCTAAAACATTTTACATTTACCATTATGTACTATACCAATATTTTAAAAATTAATGAAAATAATTTCTATGGGGGATCAGAAAAGGCAAATAGTTAAGTACAGTCCCTATTAACAATACGGTAATATAAATGAAATAGATCACCAGTATTAATAGAGTGTAGAACAGGAAACGAGAATGGACACAATGGTTTTACTTTTTTTTAAAAAAAGTTTAAGCTAAATATAAGATACATAAAGCATATAAAATATGAATATGCAATTTAATAAATAATGTATAAAATGAACAGCTATGTGGCTCCAGAAGCAAAACACTGACAGCATGGCATCTTCTAATCTCAACTCCTACCTCTCCTCACATCTTAGGTTATTTCTATCCTGACTTCCTTACTTTGCTTTATATAAATACTTATCATTCCTTAATACTATAATCACTTCCTTATTTTGCTTTACATTAATACTTATTGTCCTGTTATAGACTGAAGTGTCTCTCCCAAATTCGTAAGTTGAAGCCCTAACTCCCACTGTGATTATATGTAGAGATAGGTAATTAAGGTTAAATGAGGTCACAGGGTGCGGCTCTGATAGATAGGATTAGTATCCTTATAAGGAGACTGACCAGAGAGCTCATTCTCTCTTCCCAGGCACACTCAAAGAAGAGGTCTGCTGAACACACAAGGAGAAGGTGGCTATCTACCGGCCAGGACGTCTCACCAGAAACTGTCCGTGCTGGCAGGCTGATCTTGGATTTCCAGCCAGCAGAACTGTGAGAAAATAAATGTCAGTTGTTTAAGCCACCTAGTCTACAGTATTTTCTTAACACTATAGTTTAATTTTGTGTGTTAATGAACTTTACGTAAATACAATCATGTAGTATGTTTTTGTGTTTTACTTCTCTCAACACTGTTTGTAAGATTCATTCATGTTGATATATGCAGCAATAGCTTATTAGCTTTGCTATATAGTTTTCCATTGCATGAACATATTGCTATTTATTTTATCTGATAGATATCTGGGTTGTTTTCAGTGCAGAGGTATTACAAACATGCTGCTAGGAACATTTTTATATGTGTCTTTTGATGCATGTATGTATGTATTTCTGTTGATGACAAAGTACAACTTCTATGTCATATGGTATGCATAAGTTCAGCTTTAGTAGATGATTCCAAATGATTTTCATGCCAACAGACATGAGAGTTCATATTGTTACAAATCCACACTACATTTGGTACTGGCAAACTTTGTAATTTCAACTACCCTGACATATTTTCACTATGACCTTTTTTTCTCTGATGACCAGTAAGGTTGAACAGCTTTTATGTGTTTACTGGACATTGTCTATATCTCCTGAAGTGCTTATTCAAGCCTCTTGCACCCTTTTCTATTAGGCTGCCTGCCATTTTCTCTTCTTGATTTGTAGGTTTTTTTGCGTGTGTTTGTTTTTGTTTTTTAATTCTACATTCTAGTCCTTTGTCACGTTGCAGTCCTTGGCTTGCCTGTTCATCTCTTATTTTTTTCTCAATGGACCTAATTTCTTAAGTTTGATGCAGTTGAATTTAAGTCTTTTATACTTACTGTTTTTGGTGCGTAGTTCTTTTTTAAAAAATTAAAGGGGCGCCTGGGTGGCGCAGTCGGTTAAGCGTCCGACTTCAGCCAGGTCACGATCTCGCGGTCCGTGAGTTCGAGCCCCGCGTCGGGCTCTGGGCTGATGGCTCGGAGCCTGGAGCCTGTTTCAGATTCTGTGTCTCCCTCTCTCTCTGCCCCTCCCCCGTTCATGCTCTGTCTCTCTCTGTCCCAAAAATAAATAAAAACGTTGAAAAAAAATTTAAAAAAAAAAAAATTAAAAAAAAATTGTATTTGAGAGAGACAGTGAGTGAGCAGGGGAGAGGGAGAGGGAGAAAGAGAGAATCTCAAGCAGGCTCCGCCCTCAGCACAGAGCCTAATGTGGGGCTCCATCCCACAACCCTGGGATCATGACGTGAGCTGAAATCAGAGTTGGATGCTCAGCCGAATGAGCTACTCAGGTGCCTCTCTTTATGCCTAGTTCAAAAAATTCTTGTCCAACCTCATATCATGCAGATACTACTTTTTTCATTCAAAATGCTTTTTTTAGAAATTAGGTAATGCTACCTCTGAGCTGTTCTACAATGTATGTTTAAGCTTCTGGTTGTGTTCAACTACAGCTGTGGGTATGTTCCTTTGATTTCAGGTATCAGTAACTCGCCATTTCCCTTTTGTATTTACATTCCTCCTTCTGGATGAACTGAATGCACTTTTCTTGGTAGGGGCTGACAGTAAAGGTGGTTTTTTGTGGACTCTTTTTCATTCTCTACCATTGACAGTCCTTTTCCATAGTAACATTGGGTGACATTAACCAAACGTTCAAGTTGATCTGTAATTTGAACTAATATATGGTCTATTAGTGTCTTTCTTACTAATAGAGAATAGGGATTTTTTTTTAAAAAAGGTTTATTTATTTTAAAAGAGAGAGGGGCAGAGAGAGAGAAAGAGAGAGAGAGGGAGAGAGAGCTCCAGAGGGAGAGAGAGAGAATCCCAAGCAGGCTCCAGGCTGTAAGTGCAGAGCCCAACACGGGGCTGGATCTAACAAACTGTGAGAGCATGACCTGAGCTGAAATCAAGAGTCAGGCGCTTAACTGACTGAGCCAGCCAGGTGCCCTGAGAACAGGGATTTGAAGGTGCAACCATGGAGGACTCTTTTCTTTCTAATCATCGTTCTTGTTTTTCCTTGGTCATATCTGTCAGCTGAGTGCTCAGCCATTTCCTACAGACTTTTCCTTTTCTCTCAACAGTAGCTGAGATATTTCTTTTTTGCTCATAATAATTTGACCTCTACTACGTCTTCTCCTCTGTCACATAAATAAGAATGTACTACTACTTGTGGCCTTGGTGGTGAATAAAAGACATTTTTTGGGAGCAGGGAGCCACAGTCTTTTCAGATGATTTTTTAAATGCTGCATTGGCAACAATACATGCAAATGCTCATAACATGCATTTGGAATGAATGCAGGGTCTCAGCTCGAATTTGGGAATTTCTGCCACCTTAGCATCTTCTTAAGTACAAAGCAGCAAAGAAGCTAAATGGATTGTGTGTATTTAATAAAGGCACTCATGGGGACTTGTGATGTAGATGATCTGGGCTCCAAAACGTCAGAGATGATCCAGAATCCTCCAGTCAGAGCCAGCTGCCTGTACTGCAATGGGTTTATACAAAGATTATATACAAAATTCACATAAAGGTTATGGGATCTCTGTGAAGTCTGACTAACCGAGAAAAGTCAGCTAAAAGAATCCTCCCTGGATGCCATTTTCAGTGTGAACTCCAACTCCGTGTATTCAAACACAGACAGGAATGAGATCAGCTCTAGAATCCCAGGACTTTTCTGACACTTGGTCTTCTTCTTCCCCCTGCCACTTAGCCCTCCTCCCACTGGGCTGCAGCATTCCTGATTCAGCAGTAACCACCATGGGGTGAAGACCAGGGTAAGCAGGGTGTGAAAGCGCCAGCATGAGGCCTCTTCTGTTGCAGGAGGCACCTGTAAAGAATCCAATAGCTTTCCAACATCTCCAAGCAAGCCCTTGAACAGACCTCCCTGTTC